TATGAAATCCTTCTCATTTTTTCTTTAAAAAGATTCACTTGCCCCAACATCTTGGAATATACTCATAGTTTACTATGGCATGAGGATTCCCATTCTAATGCCATTCGATTCCAAATAAATATCATTATTTTTTGGAGAATCTCTCACTGATACTTTCTACTTTGCGATTTCCTTGTAAGAAGATAAAAGAAGTCCCTTTCACTATGACAGTGGGGTGGGGGGAGCTGAAACTGGAGGTCTTCCCTAGGAGGCATATGAAGGCGTGCATGAAGGAGTAAATGCAGGAGTGACTCATGGCAAGGGTCAGAGGCAACAGTCAAGGGAACTCAGCTGCAGACAAATCTAAAAAACGGTGGGTGGGACTGGTCTTGAATTACACTTTTGAACATTTAGCAACAATTCAACTGTTAAGGGAAAATGCTGAACATTAACAAAGCAGGGGAAGTATTTAATTATCCCATTTTAGGATATCAAATTCTAGGATAAAGGCAGGAATTGATCAGTCTTAATTTAGGAAGAGAGGATCTTACAAGGAGGACACTTTCTTATATGTGACATTACAAGAGTCAGATGCTCTGTTTCTGTGCTTGATGAGGATGGGGACTTCCATAACCCTAATTATGGCAAATTGGAGAAAAAGAACTGCTAAAATGATCTTCTTTTCCTAAAATATAAAAGAAATTGACTTTCCTAAATTCCCCAAAGACTTAAATCCTCCCATTCAAATGTCTCTGTCTCTTTGGAGACAGAGCTATTAAAGAGAATGTATGATGTTGGCAGTGAAGAGTCAGAGAGTTCACAAATAACGTTTTTTTTTTTTGTTTGCTTGTTTGTTTGTTTTGTGGTACACCAATTGAACCCAGGGAATTTTCTTTTTAAAATTTGTTCTAATTAGTTATACATGACTGTAGAATGCATTTTGACACATCATACATAAATGGAGCATAACTTCTCAGTCTTCTGGTTGTACATGATGTAAAGTTACACTGGTTGTGCAGTAATCTATGCACATAGGGTAATAATGTCCGATTCATTCTACTGTTGTTCCTACTCTTATACCCTCTCCCTTCCCTTCACTCCCCTCTGCCTAATCCAAAGTACCTCTACTCTTCCTTAGCACCACCCCCCCATTTTGAATTAGCATCCATATATCAGAGAAACATTTGGCCTTTGGTTTTTTGGAATTGGCTTATTTCGCTTAGCCTGATATTCTCCAGCTCCACCCATTTACCTGCAAATGCCATGATATCATTCTTCTTGGTGGCTGAGTGATATTCCATTGTGTGTATATATACCACATTTTCTTTATCTATTCATCTGTTAAGGGCATCTAGATTGATTCCATAGTTTAGCTATTGTGAATTGAGCTGCTATAAACATTGATGTGGCTATGCCACTGCAGTATGCTGATTTTAAGTCCTTTAAGTATAAACTGAGGACTCATTTGGTGGTTCTATTCCAACTTTTCTGAGGAATCTCCATACTGCTTTCCATAATGATTGCACCAAATTTGCAGTCCCACTAGCAATGTTAAGAGTTTACCTTTTCCCCCACATCCTCGCCAACATTTATTGTTGCTTGTATTCTTGATAATTGCCTTCTGTCTGGAGTGAGATGAAATCTTAGAGTAGTTTTGATTTGCATTTCTCTAATTGCTAGAGATGTTGAAAACGTTTTCATATATTTTTTTGATTGATTATATTTCTAGCCCTTGGGTCATTCTGTTTAAGTAATGGTTGTTTGGCCAAGGAGTCTGGCCATGTTTATTCTGTTTAAGTAATGGTTGTTTGGCCAAGGAGTCTGGCCATGTTTACTGATTATCTAACAAAATTACATAAGTAATCAATACAGCTCCTGAAAAATTTAATCTCTTAAATGTTCTAGTGAGTTGAAACTAGGGCAAAGGTCTTGGCGAGTGTGCAAGTAAGTAACTCACACAGTTCAAGGTTTTGGGAAGTGAATCAAGAAAGGGCTCACCAGGATAATGATGAAGCTCTTTTTGTACCTGACAGCTAGTGGCTTTTTTGAAAACCCTGTCTGCCATTTAACCTAATCTCCCTGCATGTTAGGAACCATCTTTTAAAGACTAAGGATGATGGCCTTCAAAGGGAGAGACACGTGACCCCAATGACTTGTTAAAATATCAGTTTCCTCAACGGTAACTGTCTACCTCAATCCAGATGCTTTGAACAAGAAAACAATCAAGAAATCAGGGGATTTTACACAAGATCATAGATTATGCATAATTCCTGGAAATTTAAGATAATTCCTGGAAACCTTAAGCTAGTGTTTGAGGATATGGAAGAGGAGGGATCTGAGGAGGACACAGGGAGCCAAAGATCCTCTCTGGTGGTTTCATTACTCCCAAAGATTATTGTGTTTTGTTATTCCTTTTCTAAACTTTTTACTTTGAAATGATTTTATACTTACACAAATCTCGAAAGCAAAAAATTGTTAGAGTTCATACACACTTCATCAAACTTCCCCTAATGTTAGCATCTTACAGATCATAGCAAAAATATCAAAATCAGTAATTATCATTGACACAACACTATTGACACGACAGTATTATTGAAATTAAGGTATTGTATCTTGCTTATTTGAAAGGTTGTTAGACTGTAAAAATGGAAACACTAGGCTCTCTGTTGTCCTACCATAACGATAGGTATGAAATAGGAACAGGTCCATGATCTGAGTGAAACCACATTTGAGACTGAAACAACTGGGAATCTGCCCCACCTTGAACCTTTCTCCCTTTACTCTCACTTGGATTCTCAGAAATGAAGATGGATTTCAGATGTTAACTGAGAATCAAAGACGATGAAATGAAATTGAGTTACCAATGGGTGGCACTGTATATCTATAGGAGTATCTCTCAAAATCACCCCTGATGTTGTTATGCTTTGTCAATGGACAAAATTGCAATTTATTTTAAAGATCTTAATTGGCTTTATTTTTAATTTCAAAATCCAAACATAATTAGTTTGGGTTGGGTATTTGGTATTTAGCATGTGTGACTCCATTTTGATTTTTAGTCTGGTCTGTTGGGGCCCAAAGTATGGCCTCCCATGATTTTTAGTGAACACATTTATTGAGCTTCCTAGAGCACTCTTTTCAGCTTCAATGCATTTCTAGACATCGACAGCAGTTTGCCTCACTTGACAGCAAGTGATGCCTCTACAATCTTGCTTCAGGAACTTTCAGTACTCTAACATTTACCATGATCTGTGGAAATAAGGCTTCAACCAGTGAGCTAGAGCCAATTCAGACCTGGAAAGTACTCATTATCTTCACGATATAATGGTACAGCTTTTTTGAAAACCACTTTGCCATTTAACCTAATCTCCTTGAAAGTTAGGAATCTTCTTTTAAAGACCAAGGATGAGGGCCCTCAAAGGGAGAGATGTATGACCCCAATAACACATTAAAATATCAATTTCCTCAACAGTAACTGTCTACCTCAATCCAGATGCTTTGGACAAGAAAGTTTGGGTCTGACCTAAGAGCCACTGCTTCTGCAGCTCAGACTTTCCATACTGAATGCTTAACTCAAACCAGTGGCTGTTCACCATGGAAAAGCTACGGGACCCTCTCAGAGAGAAAACTTCTAGGAGTGTCATATCTGGATAACGAGGAAATTCTGCTCTAAAGAGGGGAAGGGAGTTTGTCTAGCAATGAGGGTCTCATACTAATATGTGGTCTAATTCTGGAGACAGCATGTTATAGATCTGGGTATGAGGTTCAGGCTTCAAGTCACTGGACAACACTGGCCATTGTGTGGGGCCACCCTCCTCTCACGGGGACAGAGCACTTTCTATGGCTACTAATTCTCTGTGGATCACGGCCCTCCTGACAGCTGGCCTGGATACCACCTACTTTTTCATTTGAGCTCCCAAGAGAGAACTCCCCAGAGGAAGGGGCTCTGAATGTCCTATCCAGGGCAGGCCACCTCCTTAGCTGCTTTTCCCTCCTGTGTCAAAGAGCTACTCCGTGTGTCTCCACAGCAAGCTGGGCATCAGGGAAAGGGAGGCAGGAGCTTTCTGAAATCTGAGTGTCCATTTCAATTTATGTGTTGGAGATTGCAGCAGCCTAGGAAATTCTCTGCAGGCAGAGGATTTCCAGATTGGGTGACAGCCTATAATACTGTATTTCAAAATTCGCAGCAGTGATTACTTCATTAGGTGAAATGGGGAAAAGGTCAATGAAATCTCAGAGCTGGGGCCTAACTTGATAACTTTTTATAAGATAATAATTTAATGACATAATCTGTCACAAATGACAGGTGTCCTGAGCTGTATGGTTGGATTTAGACTAAGACAGGCCATTGGTAAGATATTGTAGTGCTAGAATATAGAAAAACTAAAGTAGAGGCCTCCTAAATGCTAGGTAGATGCTCTACCAGTGAACATATTCCCAGCTCTCTTGCTTACTTTCTTCCTCCCTCCCTCCCTTCGGAGCCTTCCTTCCTTCCTTCTTCCAATGTTATCTATGCTTTTGTAATTAGTAATTTTATGAAAAGCTTTTCTGATGTCCAGTTTACATGGACTACTTATTTTCTAACTGAATTCTGAAACTAATACTGCCCGTGACTGTGTCTGCAAGTGGATATGTACTCTTTCTACTGATGCCATAGTGTTCTTACATGTTAGCTCATTTAATTGCCTCCACATATCTTTTCAAATGAGGAAACTAGATTCAGAGACTTCATCGCCTTCCTTACTAAAGATCCACACTAGAGGGCAGTCAGACAGGACCCCAGGCGATCTGATTCTATAATCATCAAACTGTTCTGGACGCAGGAGGGATCAGGGCCCCGTTACTCACAAATCACCTGAGTTAGTTACCTGGGATGTCTTTGCAAAATGGAGAATTTTGGAACTGTATGCCTTCCAATCAGTCCTTCTACCCGTATTTCGACCTCACCACGCTGGAAAGCAGGATTAATCATTACTCTTAGTATTACTCATCGCCATCCAGGGCAACTCCTGTACCCTACAAACACTAGGGGGCCTCGCACAGCGGATCGCAACCAATATAATATGCGAAGGATTCAGTGGCGACTTCCTTTCCGCGACGCCTAGAGACGCCAGGCCGGGGTCAGGAGTCCTCCCAGCCGTCCTTCCCTTTCTCCCGGGTGAGGATGGCTGCGACACTGATCCTGGAGCCCGCGGGCCGCTGCTGCTGGGACGAGCCGCTGCACATTGCCGTGCAAGGCCTGGCCCCCGACCAGCCGGTCATGCTGCGCTCGTCCCTGCGCGACGAGAAGGGCGCGCTCTTCCAGGCCCACGCGCGCTACCGCGCGGACGCGAAGGGCGAGCTGGACCTGGCGCGCGCGCCCGCGCTGGGCGGCAGCTTCGCGGGCCTGGAGCCCATGGGGCTGATCTGGGCCATGGAGCCTGATAAGCCGTTTTGGCGACTACTGAAATGGGACGTGCAGACGCCCTTCGTGGTGGAGCTGGAGGTGCTGGACGGCCACGAGCCTGACGCTGGGCCGCTGCTGGCCCGGGCGCTGCACGAGCGCCACTTCATGCCGCCCGGGGTGCGGCGGGTGCCGGTGCGCGAGGGCCAGGTGCGGGCCACGCTCTTCCTACCTCCAGGTGAGCAACCTCTGTCACTGTTACCCTCTGCCTGTGCTGCTTCATTGGTGCAGTGCCTGGACTTTCTCCCTTTCTCCAACCAAAGTCTCCTAGCTGCCCTTACAAGTCAGTGGTCACTGGAAAATTGCAGATCTTTCAGATTATGGCTGGGTTAATGTCCTGGTCCCAGAGTCAACAGCAGGAGCAATATTGGAAGTTACTTAGAAAAGGGGGAATACCAGACTTTGTCCAAGCCCTGATGAAATAGAATTTCAATAGTTAAAAGACAGGCTCCCCCACTGTGGTTTGTGAGCACATTCAGGTATTGTGACAAGCTGGTCTCCTGTGGTTATTCAAGCAGAGTGCAACAGCAGCAGCCCAGCAGCATCACTGGGGAACTTGGTGGAACTTAACCAGTTCAGAAGGATAATGAATATCACTTGCCTACTCAGGAATTAAGTCTAATTGTTACACTCTAGTGATTAAGATGTGGTGATATAAGAATGGACTAATAAGTTATAGGATAGAATACACATTTCTTAAATTGATAATACATATATGAAAATATGGAGTATGATATAGTAGCATAAATTATTGGGAAATGGCAGTATTATTGAGATTTATTTAGATCCGTACCTCACATCATACACAAAAATGAATTCCAGATGGATCAAAGATCTATATGAGAAAAACAAATGTAAAAGTTATAGAGAAAAAAAATGTGGGTATCCTATAACCCTATACAGGAAGGGTTTCTTACATAGACTCAGAAAGGACCAATAATAAAGGAAACTGAAAAACCCCGGTGAGACAAACAAGAAGATAAAGAGATAATTATGTGACAGAAGATGTTACAATACATATAATAAGGGATCAGAATCCAGAATATAGTAAAGAAAACTTCTACAAACCAATAGAGTAAAACATAAGCTTTGTAGAAAAATAGGTCAAGGAATATAAAATTGAATTTAAAATATAAACAGGAAAAGAATGTCAATAAGCACATGAGAAAATTCTCAACAGAAATATCCTTTTTAAAGTACTGTGGAATACCATCTCATACCTTTCAATAAGGCAAACATTTTTAAATGATGGTCAAGTGTTGGTGAAGATGTAGTAAAACAAGAACAGTCCATATTTCTGGTGAGACTGTGCAGTAACACAACTTTGGAAAACAGCTTGGCAACTTTTAGTAAAAATTGAAATCTACATATTATATAAATAACTTAGCATGAAAATTGAACATATAGTCCTAGCTAAATGCAACTGGAGTTTAGAGGATGTGTGTCACTGCAGTGCAAGTAATAATAAATTGCAACAACTTTAATGATCATCAAAAAAGGAAACAGATAAATTGTGCTATGTTTACTAACATGTTATGCATGGTGCAGAGATTCCCCACCCTCAGTTTGGAAAGAAAGGCAATAATAATCTGAGTCTTTGTTAGTTATAATCTTACTACAAAAATAAAGATCTGGAAATTTGTGACAGCAGGTATAGAAGAAATGTGGACTCAGTTTTTGATGGCAATCATGAAAATCATAAGCATAGACCTAGAATGTGTAAGCACTGCCTGAGATTTGGAGTTCTGTGATAGTAAAAGCAAAAGTGACTCCATTTTGTTTAGTAACTCCATTTTGGAAAACAACCATGCCAAGTAGAAGGGTCATGACCAGGGCAAGATGTTCTTTTCCTTTTGCTATAGAAACCTTTAAGAACATGAAACTACCTAATGGGGCATTGTTTCTATAACTAGGGTAATGGGGCTTTGTTTCTGAAACTGGGGTGACTGGGCTAATTATGATTGGCTAAGTGTCCCTCGGCCTGACTGCACTCTCCCGCTTCTGTAACTTGGCTTGCTTGCATTGGCTAGACCCCCAAACATCCCTTTTGCAGTTTTCAGGCTTATAAGGAGCGCCCTTGCAATTGATTGGGGCTGATAAGGGAAACAGTTTTATGTTCTGGTCATTTGCCACCCATGCTTCAATAAAGGCTTGATTCGATTATTTGTGAGTGGTCTGGAAGTCAGTTTCTGAAACCCAGGGATGAAGCTTTAACTATAACAGTTCTTTTCCAGATGTTTCCAAGATGACCAATGGTACCTTCTGATGTCACAACTCATTTTTTTTTAATTTGTATTGAGGATTGAATACAGGGGTGCTCCTGAGCCACAGCTACAGCTATTTTTATTTTTTATTTTTAGACAGGGTCTTGCTAAGCTGCTGAGGCTGAGCTCAAACTTCTGATCTTCTTGCACCAGTCTGTCGAGTCGCTGGGATTACAGATGTGTGCCACCTCAACCAGCTTAGTCATCACAATTCCTGGAAATTCAAATCAATTCAAATTTAGAATCACAAGCATCAAAAACAAACTCTGGGTTACCTAAATAGGAAAGGAATTTATTGTAAAGCCATTGATTAAGAACAAAGTTGAAAGGAACACTGGGGATCAGGATCAGAAAACTGAGAGAATCCAAGRGAGATTCTACCACTCAAACAAACCTGGACAGGCCATCACTGAAGCTGGATGCTTGTGGCTCCTGTGGACTCAATGACAACACTGCTGACCTGAGTGAATACTAACCTGTGTTAACTCTGTCACTCATGGGAATGAGACCGGGTCACAAGGGAGGTTGGGTCTCATGCTTGCCTTTTGCAGTACAAGGTAGAGCCAGGGAAACAGGAAAGGAGGCTTTGGGTGCTCAGCACCCCCAGCCTGCCCC